CGTGGAGGCCTCCAGGGGCGCCCTCACCAGCAGCACGCCCGGCGCCCGGCCGCAGTCTGTGTCCTGCGATGGGGCAGCCGCGAGGGGCGGGCGGGTCCGCGCGGGCCTCTGTCCGGCTGCCCCTGCCTGCCGGCGGCGCGCACCATGCCCTGGTGGAGCAACCTGTGCTGTGAGTAGGGCGCCCCCCAGCGGCCGTCCTCCGCGGGGCCCTGGCTCGCGCGAGAGCCCAAAACCAACCGAGTGCCCTTTAGTGGCGGCCAGAGGTGGGCGTGTGGGTTTCCCAGCCTTCTTCCTCCCACTCCCTGTGCTGGAGAAGTCTCCCTGCTGGCGGCAGCGCGGGGAGCGGTCAGGAAGGCCGGCGCCCGGTGCATTCTGGCCCAGGGCTGTACAACTGCTCGCTGCACCCGCTCTTGTCCTATGCAATGTGTGCCCAAACCCTCCACTCTAACAGCCTTATTCTAACCGGGGATGAGATGGAAACAGATTTTAACAGACCTGCAACCCAACAGGTGCCCCAGGGCGTGCTTCACTTCTGCCAGGCAGAGGAGATGGCCCAAAGGTGGGTGGGGTGGGGTAGAACAGAGATGGCGTGGGCTGCAGTCACCTGCAGGTGGGGGGGAGAGGAGGCTTCAATAAATCACTAGGACTTAGCACAGGCTGGAAAGTTGTCCTCACTGTGGGGCCTGGAGGTTAGCAAAGCGCGGGATGCAGAACCGGATGGAAGAGGGCTAGCTGCTTGGGCTGCGACATGGGGAAGGTGTCCCCAAGTGGTAGGACACGTGGGACTGAGAAGGAGCATCTAGGCTTCCGCGCAGGTTCCAAGCCCGGTGGTTGGCCACGCGATGATGGCACGCGGCTTGGGGGCTGGATACAATCTCCAACGTGCAGGTGCGCGAGATTAAACGGTCTGGCTGGCCAGGCCACGTAGTTCAGAAGACCGTCCTCTAGGCCCTGGAGCCATTAAGATGTCTGACCTCTTGGTGATGTGAAAGAAGCCTGCGTTTTAGGAAGCGGGGCCTCCCTGTGAGGTCTGTGCAGATCGCCCTTGGCGCAGAAGGCAAGTGGAGCCGGAAGTCGGGGCTTAGCTTGGTGTGTCCAGGACAGAAAATTGTTCTGACAAGAGTATAGGATTACTAAGGTGAAAAGAGACTACAGAGCAGTTGGCCAGTTACAATTTTAAAACTTCCTATATAATTTTTTATGCGTTCAGCTTATATATCACTTTATATAAAAAGAACATCTGAATATTGCTAAGCTATACTAAACTATCAATAGCTGTGTCGTTCTGCCTGTGGGCAGCTGTTCATTATCTTTATCTCCCTGGTTTTGACTGTAAACATTCCAATCCTCCCAGAATTAAACAGAAAAAAGTGTTTCAAATGGAAACACAGGTTTAGGAGCATGGAGGGAAAATGGTGTGTGTTACATCTGCGTCCTCCCACTTTGTTAGCAAAATGTCTCTGCATTTTCTGATTCCAGAGAGGCTGATGAGTGTTTTTGTCACATGCATGCTGGCAGGATGTTTAATTTATATTTGTGTTCAGTATTAGTGAAACCATACCAGGATAGAGTTTGTTACTGGAGTTTGACTTTTTTTCTCTACTGTATTTCCAACGGTATCATCCAACTTTTTAAAAAAGAAGGTTACATCTCTTGTGTTACACTAGAAGTGTTTGCAGAAAGTTCTCTTCTGAGTGTGTTTTTATAATTGGGCAAAATTTTAAGAAATAGTTTATGGAAATGCACTTAATTTAAAGAAATCTTTAGATTTAACTATAAGCAAGTTCATCACAGTGTTGGTTTATAACAGGAACAAATGGAAACCTAAAGCATTTTCTTCTTATTTCAGAAGATAATACATGCTTTTTAAAAATAATGAATATATGTGAGATCTAAAATGTAGAAAAAGGTTAAAGATACTCTGGGCAGCCCTAATCATAGATGTTGGAATTTTTTTTCTCTTTGTCTGTTGGCCTTGATGTTTAATGTGGGTAGTAATTTTTCTTTATTGTTTATAAAGTCTAACATTGGTCACAAATGTATATTTTATAATTTTTTTTAAAAGAAAAGAAAATCTTGTAGGAAATGTGCTTTAGATCAAAATAATGAGATTCTTGGTTTTTCTTCAAACCTTCTTCTCTATCTGAAATCTTCAATTCTCAGGGGTTTTTTGTTTCTTTTTGTTTTTAATGCTACCTTAGATGCTGATGTCAGAATAAATGAACATTGACTCATTACCAAAGCTGTTAAAGAAAAAGGCAGAGTCTATGACATTGTCACCAAAGCAAAGGCCCTTCCTGACTTTCTGAAGAATGAGAGACCTAGATCGTCTACAGATTGCATCCGTGAATATCCAAAAATCTAGTAATATTTGAATAGAAAAAGTAAGAGGGAAAAAAAGAACTTCAGGTTAATGTCCAGCATAACAGAGTATAAGGCACATTGAGATAGGACTTTGCATGCCACGCTCAGGTCCTGCCTTGGTGTGGTACCTTAGACATATTTTCACTTAACTTTCTGGGCTTCGGTTTTAAAATAAAACCTCATAAATAGCACACTGGAAGTTTGTATACATAGATTTATAATATTTCCCGTGGATTTGTAATATTTTCTCAATATGAAAACAAAATCTTTTCATGTAGTAATAAGATTATATTAATATAAACTGAAGGAATTTATGGATTTGGGGAAGCATATTTTTTCTGTATTTCTGAATATTTCTATATTTCAGATATTTATTACTGTGTTCTAAGTATTGGGGTAGGTACTAGTTACAATTATTAACCTTCAATTTGTGCTGAGAATATTAAGTATATTTTTACAGTTTTCATTAAGACCTTTTTGGTGTCAATTTTAATTGTACTTTTTGTTTATTACAGAAAGCAGTATATGTCTTATATAGAAAATTAGAAAATTTAGACAAGCAGAACTAAAATATATCACATTTTCACCCCACAGAGATCATATATGAAGGAGGTGTGTGTGTGTGTGTGTGTGTGTGTGAGGGAGAGAGAGAGAGAGAGAGAGAGAGAGAGTGTGTTATTAAGCCAAAAGGTCTTTGTATATATTATTTGATAATCGGCTTTCTTCATTTAAAATCTCTACCCTTTTATTTCAGTAAAAATTCATCTCATCTAGTCCCAAACCATACTCAGATTTTCCCAAGAAGACCCAGAAATGTCCTTTAGCTGGTTTCCCCTAACGAATACCCAATTCAGAACCATGCCGGGCATCTCTCCCCTTCCCCTTATTTATTAAATCATGCTTTTTACCCTCAATGATTCTTAAAATTTCAAACCTACAGAAAAATATAATGAACACCTATGTACACCCGACCTAATTCACCAATATTTTACCACATGTTCCTTGCCCTTCCTCTCCTTAAACTGTTTGAAAGTTACTTGCAGACAGTCTGTTAGTGCTTTTGTTTGACTTTTGTCCTTCGTGACATTGATGTTTGAGGCCAGGCTAGTTGTTTTGCAGAACCTTCTTCATTGTGGATTTGTCTGGTTGTTCCCCTCATGATTAAATTCTGCTAACCATGTTTGTCAGCAGTACTATGTAGTTGATATTGTCCTTCTTAGTGTCTCATGTCAGGAAGCACGATGACATTTGTCCCATTACTGAGGATGTTAACTTTGATCACTTGGCTTAGGTGGTACTTGCCAGATTTCTTCATTGTCAAGGTACTTTTTTTTGAAATTAAGTAATCTGTGTGTTGATTGATACTCTAAAAGTGTATGTTTCCTGACAACTGTTCATTAGTGGTTTTACTGTTTCATGATCCTTGACTGAATGAGCTATTACAATGGTGTTTGTAAATTGTGATTTTCTAAATCTAAAATTCTAAAGAGAATGACTTTAAGGATCAAAGTGGAAATTATATCTATGTGTACTGACATTTTTTCATAAAGAAGTGCTCCCTGATTACCTTTTTTTAGTATCACTCTCAATTCATGGATTCTTTTTTTATTCAATGTGTTGTAACCCATCAATGTCATTATTTCTTATGCTTCAAAATTTGGCCAATAGGAGCCCTTCAGGCTTGCTCTTGTGCCCTTTTGACATAGCTCTATCAGCTCTCGAGCACCTCCTTTCTGTCAAAACAAAATGTTCCTCGTACTTTCTGTAACCCAGCCTGGAATTTCTCCAAGGAGCTCTAGTCCCTTTTCGGGGCCTGTTGAGATCAATCTAGTTATCACATAGAATGTCCCCTCCTTTAGATGTGTGTAGATACTTGTTTGTGTGGTTATTTAGCTTATTCCCGTAACCCTATATTTCTTATAAATTGGAAGTTTTTTTAAAACTTGATTCTAGTTTAAAATCATAAGTGTGATGTGTGATGGCATTTTACATTGCAACAGAAGATACACTGTCTGGTTGACCCACCCTTAGGGATGCTATAGCTACTTATGTGTAATTTTCTTTTTTTTTGGTAACTAATTTTTTGATAGTGGAGTTTGTTACCTTTCCCTTTGAGCCTGAAGTTTTATTTATTTTATTTAATTAATTAATTTTTTTGTTTGACAGGGTCTTACTTTGTTGTCTGGGCAGGAGTGCAGTAGTGTCATCATAGCTCACTGCAGCCTTGAACTCCTGGGCTCAAGCAATCCTCCTGTCTCAGCCTCCCAAGTAGCTGGGACTACAGACATGTGCCACCAAGGCTGGCTAATTTTTAAAATTTTTTGTAGAGTCAAGGTCAGGGTCTCACAGTGTTGTTCAGGCTAGTGTCAAACTCCTGGCCTCAAGCAATCCTCCCGCTTTGGCCTCCCAAAGTGCAGGGATTATAGGCGTGAGCCACTGCCACTGAATTTTTAAAGGTCATTTGAAAGAAGTAGACATTGCCTAATGTATTAAGATTTACAAATACCTGTAAGACCCTTAGCTTGGAATGGCCTGACATTAAAAAAAAGTATTAATTGGTCATGTTGTATAAATATTTAATTTTCTTGAACTGTAATCATTTTTTCCCCTTCTCCTCTCCCCGCTTTTGTTAATAGTCGGACAGAGAGATGCTGAAGATGTGAGTGAAAGAAACTCCAATAAAGAGATGGCTGCTAACTCGGCAGTGGTTCCTGACATCACAAGTGACAGGCAGGAGGAGATGTCTGAAATAATTGAGCAGATTCCTTCTTCAGAAAGCAATTTAGAAGAGTTAACACAACCCACTGAGTCCCAGGCTAATGATGTTGGATTTAAGAAGGTCTTTAAGTTCGTGGGCCTTAAATTCACTGTGAAAAAGGATAAGAGCGAGAAGTCCGACACTGTCCAACTACTCACTGTCAAGAAAGAGGAAGGCGAGGGAGCGGCAGGGGCAGGCGACCACCTGGAGCCCAGCCAGGAGGCAGGGGAAGCCACCCCCAAAGAAAGTGAACTCCAGCAGTCCACGGAGAAACCCGAAGAGGCCCTCAAGCACGAGCAAAGCCACACAGAAATTCCTCTTCAAGCTGAATCTGCTCAAGCAACAGAGGAGGGCAAAGAAGAGGGAGGAGACAAACAGGAAAAAGAGGCCAGCAAGCCTCCAGAATCCCCGACCAGTCCGGTGACCAGTGAAACAGCATCGCCGTTCAAGAAATTCTTCACTCAAGGTTGGGCTGGCTGGCGAAAGAAGACCAGTTTCCGGAAGCCCAAGGAGGATGAGCTGGAAGCTTCAGAGAAGAAAAAGGAACCAGAGCCAGAAAAAACAGACACAGAGGACAAAGAAAAGGCAGAAGATAGCTCTGGGAAGCCGACCGCGTGTGAGCAGCCAGTCCCGCAGGAGCCCACGGAGAGTGTCCAGGAGGCCAGGTTATCAGCCGAGTATGAGAAAGTAGAGCTGCCGTCGGAAGACCAAGTCAGTGGCTTGCAGGCATCTCCTGAAGAGAAACTCGCTCCATTAGCAACAGAAGTCTTTGATGACAAAGTAGAAGTCCATCAAGAAGTTGTCGCAGACGTCCACGTCAGCACTGCGGAGGAAGCAGAGGAGCAGAAAGCTGAGGTAGAAGAAGCGGTAGAATCTTTGCTGCCTGAAAAATTAGTTGAAACAGATGTCGAACCTCAGGAAGCAGAACCTGCCAAGGACCAGGTAAAGACCAAAGAAGCCTGTGCCCCCGAAGAGGACCACACCCAGGGACCTGAACTAAGTCCAGATGACAAAGTGTTGCCCAAACACCCGGAAGGCATCGCGAGCGAGGTGGAAATGCTGTCCTCACAAGAGAGAATGAAGGTGCAGGGAAGTCCACTGAAGAAACTTTTTACCAGCACTGGCTTAAAAAAGCTTTCTGGAAAGAAACAGAAAGGGAAAAGAGGAGGAGGAGGAGGTGATGAAGAGTCGGGGGAACACAGCCAACTTCCAATAGATTCTCCAGATAGCAATGATGAGCAGAAGGGTGAGAGCTCCGCTTCCTCCCCCGAGGAACCCGAGGAGATCACCTGCCTGGAGAAAGGGGTCGCGGATGCGCACCAGGATGGGGAGGTCGAAGAAGGAACCACTTCTGATGGTGAAAAAAAGAGAGAGGGTGTTACTCCCTGGGCATCTTTCAAAAAGATGGTGACACCCAAGAAACGTGTCAGAAGGCCTTCAGAAAGTGACAAAGAAGATGAACTGGACAAGATGAAGAGTGCCACCTTGTCTTCCACGGAGAGCGCAGCCTCTGAAATGCAAGAAGAAGTAAAAGGAAGCGCAGAAGAGCCAAAGCCGGAAGAACCAAAGCGCAAGGTGGATACATCAGTATCTTGGGAAGCTCTAATTTGTGTGGGGTCATCCAAGAAAAGGGCAAGAAAAGCATCATCTTCTGACGAGGAAGGAGCACCAAAGACGGTGGGAGGAGACAGCCAGAAAGCAGACGAGGCCGGAAAAGACAAAGAAACAGGAGCAGACGCTGTGCTTGCCGGTTCCCAAGAACACGATCCAGCGCGCGGAAGTTCCTCCCCTGACCAAGTTGGAAGCCCTTCGGAAGGGGAGGGCGTTTCCACCTGGGAGTCATTCAAAAGATTAGTCACCTCAAGAAAAAAATCAAAGTCAAAACTGGAAGAGAAAAATGAAGACTCTGCCACTGGGACCGGTGTAGAACACTCGGCTTCAGATGCTGAACCTGGGAAAGAAGAATCTTGGGTTTCAATTAAGAAGTTTATTCCTGGACGAAGGAAGAAAAGGCCAGACGGGAAACAAGAACAAGCCGCGACTGAAGACATGGGGCCAACAGAGGTCAACGAGGATGATGCCGACGTCCCAGCCGTAGTTCCCCTGTCTGAGTACGATGCAGTAGAAAGGGAGAAAATGGAAGCGCAGCAAGCCCAAAAAAGTGCGGAGAAGCCTGAGCAGATGGCGGCCGTGTGTGTGTCCGAGGAGCTCAGTAAGACTCTGGTCCACACAGTGGCCGTGGCTGTGGTTGACGGGACAAGGGCAGTTACCAGTGTTGAAGAGAGGTCTCCTTCTTGGATATCCGCTTCAGTGACAGAACCTCTTGAACAAGCAGAAGAAGATGAAGCCACATCATTAGCTAGGGAAGTATCTGAAAGAGAAGTGATTGCAGAAGAAACCCCTACGGTTACCAAACCTGTGCCAGAGAACAGAGATGCCCGTGACGACACGATTGTCAGCGAGGTGCAATTAACTTCTGAAGATGTGACAGCTGCAGAAACGACAGAGGCATTTTGTGCTGAAGAAGCAACCGAAGCATCTGGTGCTGAAGAGACCACAGAAATGGTGTCAGCAGTTTCCCAGTTAACTGACTCCCCAGACACCACAGAGGAAGCGACACCGGTGCAGGAGGTGGAAGGTGGCGTGCTAGACGTAGAAGAGCAAGAGAGGCGGACTCAAGAGGTCCTACAGGCGGTTGCGGAAAAAGTGAAAGAGGAATCCCAGCTGCATGGCACCAGTGGGCCGGAAGACATAATTCAGACCATGCAGAAGGTAGAGTCAGAGCCACCAGAGAAGCTGGAAGAAGCAGAAGAGGGTCCAGAGAGAGATACAGATGTAGTGTTGCAAGTACACGCACAACAGACTAAAACTGAGCATTTTACACAGGGGAAGGTAATGGTACAAGCCACCCCGGAAAGCCTCGAAGAAGCTGCTCAAGTCACAGAGAGTGTAGGGTCCAGTGAGCTAATAACCACTTGTCAAGCTGAAACCTTAGCTGGGGTCAAATCCCAGGAGATCACAGTGGAACAGGCCGCCCCCCGTGACTCAGTTGAAACCCCAACAGACGGTGAGACCAATGGAAGCATCCCCATAGTAGACATTGAAGCTCCAGATACAACACAGCAAGACAAGATTGTGGAAATCCATGCAGGTAATGAGGTCACATCTGGGACCCAGTCAGCGGTCACAGAGGCAGAATCAGTTCTTGCCCAGAAAGAGAAGTTTCCAGCACCTTCTAGTTTTCAATCTGAGGAAGAAAATAAAGAGCAATCAAAAGTGGAAGATGTCCTAGAACATCCAGATAAAGTGCCCTCAGTGGAAACCGTACCCATTCCGTCGAAGACTGAGGTGATTCAAGAGGCCGGCCAGTGTGCCGATGAAGAAACCAAAGACATACCATTTGTCGAAGGACTTGAAGTGTCTGTAGACACAGACGCACCAGTGAGTCGGGAAAAGGTCACTGAAGTTGCCCCTAAAAGTGAAGTGACGACACAAGCTGAATGTCAAAAGAATGATAATATTGAACTCCAGAGTCCTACTAAGTCTCCTCCATCCCCAGTGGAGAGGGAGGTGGTAGTTCAAGTAGAAAGGGAAAAAATCAAAGCAAAACCAGCCCAAGTGAGTGAAGAGAAACTTGAGCAAAAAGGAGATGTTACCGTATCTGACGAGCTCGGCGTGCGACTGGTTCAGACAGTTAACGTGACCGTCATAGACAAGGAGAAGGAAGTTAGCAGTTTGGAAGGCAGCCCTCCTCCTTGCCCAGGTCAAGAGGAGGCAATATGCACAGAAGTTCAAGTTCAGAGATCCGAGGCATCATTATTAGCTCTAACAGCTGCGGTGGTGGAGGAGAAGGTCTTAGGAGAAGGTGTCAAAATTTTAGAGACAGGTGAAACTTTGGAGTCTGCAGGTGCTCATTTAGTACTGGAAGAAAAACCCCCTGAAAAAGATGAAGACTTTACAGCTCAGCCAAGAGAAGAGGCCGAGCCCACAGGGCCCGAGTCTCAGGCAGAATCAATATCAGTAACAGCATCTGCCACTCTTGAAAAAGGCTTCTGTTCTGCCCCGGAAGGAGAGAAAACCCCATCACAGAAATGGAAGTCAGATGAAGCCAGTGAGCAGGTGGTTCGTCCGGAAGTCAAAGTGAGTGTAGGAAGAGAGGAAGATGGAAAGGATGACAACGAGATTTTGGAATTTGAGACTGAGAGCAGTAAACTCGTCCAGAGCATAATTCAGACTGCTGTTGACCAGTTCGTACGTATAGAAGAAACAACCACCGAAGTGTTTACATCCGATTTACAGACACAGGCCCACGTGGTAAAAGCCGATGGTCAGGAGGCTGGACAGAAAACGGAGACAGAAGACAGTGAAGGTCAGGTCTCTGAACAGGATGAAATACCGACGGTCGCAGCCCAAGAGGAGTCGGAGGAGTCAGAGCTAACCGCCGTGGGACAGGTACGTTCTGAGATATCCAAAGATGTGAGTGAAACTTCAGAAAAGATCATTGAGGTAGAAAGTTCCAGTGTAAATGACCAACAGCTCGTAGAGAGCGTTCTCCCACCTGAGGGAGAGGGAGATGGAACTGGAGCACAGTCTGTGCCAGAAGCTGATGGTGGTGCCATGTTAGGAGAAAGAATAGAGAAGCCACAATGTGAATCCAAAGAAGATGAAGAAGGTGATGCTGTCGATTACCCTGAGAGCCAGGACTCGGCCCTCGCCCACACTCTTGCCTCAGGAGGCTTAACCAAAGAGTCCCCGGATACAAATGGACCAAAACGGGAAGAGAAGGAAGATGCCCAGGAAGTAGAAGTTCAGGAAGGAAAAGTGCACAGTGAGTCAGATAAAGAGATCAGAACCCAAACACAGGAGGAGATACGGAAAGAAGAGAGGGAACCAGCAAAGTCAGAACTTACGGAATCCTAAAACATCATGTAAGTAACATGTTGGTTTTCCTCTTTTATGCTATTAGATGGCAAGTTATAAAGTTATAAAGGAATCAGGAGTTCAAATAATTATGATTTTATGTAGAACCTTCAGTTGGGGAAATAACTATCAACTAGACTAAAAGACCTAGGACAGTTTCTTTTTTGTCATTGAAATGCCATTTAATCTTACTGATATTACAAAAATAATGGCTTTGTTTTACCTCTAATGGGACTGCTTTAGAAGAAAATAAAGGGGCATGTGTGTGTGCACTTGTGTATGTTTGGCTCAAATGCGTAAGAGATACACTGTGCTCACTCAGCACCATACCCACTAGTTTGTTGAGTTTTTTTTTTTTTTTTAAATATCAGACTGCTTAAAATATAGTTGATAGCTTTTTAGGAAAAAATAGATTTTTTTTTCCCCCAGCAGTAGTAACAAGCATTGTTTGGAATTTTCCAGTGCGTATGATGACTGGGTTAGAGAACCACAGCCCGAGTTTTGTGGCAGCATAGCATAGTTCAATATGGACTCTCGCCATCTTTTTATTTTTTTGAGAGGGGATTGCTCTGTCGTCCAGGCTAGAGTGCAGTGGCATCATCATAGCTCACCGCAACCTCCAGCTCCTGGGCTCAAGCAATCCTCCTGCCTCAGCCTCCCAAGTAGCTGGAACTACTGGTGTGCGCAACTATGCCCGGCTAATTTTTCTATTATTTGTAGAGATGGGCTCTTGCTCAGGCTGGTCTCCAACTCCTAGCCTTAAGCCGTCTTCCTGCCTCAGCCTCCGGAAGTGCTAGGATTACAGGCGTAAGCCACCATGCCCGGCCACCATCTTTGTTTGTTTGTTAATGGAGTTAAACTATGGTATTATTGGGGTTCCCAGGAGCTGTAGTTCATTTTCCCAACCAATCCGTTGTTAACAAATGAGGGAGGAAAAGGAAATTTTACTTATTCTGATTCTTACTTCTTCTACAGTTAAACTCATTGTCTGTTTGCAAGACCAGAACGTGAGGACAAGTAGTAGAAGAGAATGAATGCTGCTGCTAAGACGCAAGACCAGTATTTCAAGAACTTGGAGCACCAGAGGGCAGGCACGTGAACTGAGCTTGTTTCTAGAGAGCCCCTGACAATCCTGAGGCTTCTTCAGGAGCTATAGCCGTATAACATTGCCTCTTTTCAAGACCACCCTACTATTCTATTCTCCCTAGATACCATATAATGTTTCTGATTTAAGGTTCTAAATTCCTCACCTGGAACTGGAGATGGCAATACCTAGTTCTGCTTCTCAAACTGGAGTATCATTCTTTATGTATTTATATGTACGTTTTACGTAATCCTCCTTGTGTATCTATTGTATATTTTTTTCTTAATGTTTAAGGAAATGTGCAGGATAGTACATGTCTTTTGTATCCCACAGTATATGACGGGGCACACGGCCATGGTGAAGCCTTGGGGAGCTTTAAAGCCTCAGTTATAACCTGTGAAACACAGAGCTTCCTAGAAATAACATTCCCGATCAGAAGGTACAGTTCTTACTGTAAAATTTAATAATGATTAGGTCCATGTTTAGAAGCACTCTGAAATTGGTCACTTTCCTATTAGGCACAGTGTGCTAAAAATAAAAGGCATTTTTAAACGTACAGAATGTTCCGTTGTGACTGTGAAATTTTTCTTTCTAGCCCAGTGAAGGTTGGAAAGAAGTTTTTTCCAGTAGCAGACAGATTAAGTCTTTTCTCCTACTTGTTGGACAGTTGTTTAGACAGACAAGTGTGCTTAATTCTGAGGCAAAGTAGTGAAATGGTTTTCATGTTACAAAGAAAAGAATTGACTGTTGTAAGTTTTTACTTCTACTCTTCTATGCTGGACCACATTCACACACAGCATGACATAAGTCAGGTTCTTAACAAATGGTATTTTGGTAGATACTGGATTGTGTCTGTGCCATATTTGTGCCCTTTCTTCTAAGAACAGTGTTGCATATTATGTTCATTTGGATAAAGTGTGATTTGACAATGGATTTAAATAAAATATTTGCTTCACTTAGATTTGCTGGTTTTTTTAGATACTAGGAATCCTGAGACCTATGTTTACTGCATTAGAATAGTAAGATAATGATTGATAACCTGGAACTTTCCAATGTAGTCACTACATGGAAACATCTCTTTACATGGGTTTGAGTTGAACGTTCAGAGGGAGTCAAGGCTGAGATGCTTTTGCTGAAATAAACCAGTAGCTTTTAGGTTGACATTACTGGTTCAATTTTACTGTCTGGTAATTCCTGAAAAAGTCAGTTTTCTGTGTTAGTATTTTTGGTTTCAAACAATGACAAATGTCTCTAGAGAGAAATTTTAAGGCAGCTTACTAGTAAAAATGTCTTGCCTAAAATAAAAGGCGACCTTGGAAAATTTTTTAAATGTCGGAATGGTGAGTCATCCTAATACATAAAGAATTTGTCAGGCAATTGCCACACACAGAATAGTCTGTTACTTGTCTACTGTAGAGTTCTACTTTTTTCACATATAGAATTGGCCTGACACGTAGCTGCTTAAATTTTACTCAAACTCACTACTCCCATCTGAGAATTTAAATTTCAACTGCTAATTAATGATTTTTAAGGCATAACATTCTAGAAAGCCTACTTTTAGCAGAGAGAAAATTTGCTGTTAAAATTTAAAGTGGTTTCTCTTATGTCAACAAACCTGACTCCATAAATAATTGGCCATGTTAGTAAGACACCTCATGGTAACAGTGTATATAGGCTTGTAGTTGGAAAACATTTAATACCCTTTTAGGAGTTATTCTCAAATATATATAATAGCCACTTGTGCTTTATTATTAAACATTAAAATTCCAAATCCAACAAACCTCTATTCTAAATCTTTTTTTTCTTCTTTTGGCCAACTGAAAATTAAATCCAAGGGCTACATTTAAGTTGAGGATCAGCTAAAAGGTATTGAGATGACAGTCAGCAATTTGTAAGGTGTTCATACTGACTGACTTCCTATGGCCGGAAGAAACTTTGTGCCATTTCGAACAGATTGAAGATCTGTGTAGTTTGTAGAAAGCGGATTTTTTTGTTGTTTAAATTCCATCCTGCCACTTCATTCTGCGTGTTTGTCTTTTCTTACCACCCGTGAGCGGGTGATTCTGGCCATCACGAGGAGGGTTTCCAGTGGTAGCTGTTTCATGACGGTGCTTTGCATACTAACCTCTGGATGTGCCCGGGATTACTTCTGTGCAAGCTCTGTATCTATGTTCGCTGAGCAACCTTGTTTTATTAACAAGAGGAACACTGGCAGTAGCATGAAATGCAATTGTTTTTATAATTCTAAAGCTGCTGTTAACTTATGAAGTACATAATTACCAAATGTAAACTGCAAAAGTTGGAGCAAGTGCCTAAATTTTGCTATTTTTGGCATTACTGTGGAGCCATGTACAATAGAAAGCAATGCAAGACTTACAAACTCGTGCCACTTCTTGTAATTGAGGAATATAAAATGTTCCCCCTCAGGTTATTTGCTTATGGTACCCATGAGTTGCCTCTCTCTGTACATACATACGTTGTTCCAATATTTTCCTCCGATGTTTGGAACTACAGATAGTCAAGGGCTGGAAATTTTATCTTGGAGTTTAGCAGTTACCTCCGATCCGAAACAATATTTGGATCCCCGAGTTCTGTTTGGGGGCAAATTTTCATTTATCTAAATAAAATGCAATGTAATTAAATGCCATGGATTTTCTTCTTATAGTTTCATCTTGATTCACTTTTGATTACTTTTGCCTTTACTGTTGTGATATTCATCACACATGTAAGCTCCACTTTTAACTACTTGGCCATCTTTTGTGACTCAGTCCATGGAGTATGCTGAGAGTTTGGAACGAATGTGTCTGGGATAGGTGTGAATGCATCATAATCTCTATCCGTGATCCTCAACCCTTTTGGATCTCAGGCCCCTTTAATCAGAACCTCGTTAATCCTCAGGCTGGCCTCTTACTCCCCCAAATAAACACAGTTTTATGTATGGTTTTTGGATAGTCACACAAACCTCTGAAATGCCAACCAGTACCCGGAACCAGAGTTAGACACAGATTCCAGATGGTGAGAGTTCAGAATGTGAACACAAAACCGGTATCACGTAAGTCCAAATCTACTTGACTATTCATTCTAACGGGGTTTTGGAAATGGATCTGCTGGACACAGCAGACCTGGTACAATTTTGGTATAAATACAAGTTTCCCCTGACACTATTCCTTAGTGTCTCCAGCCTCTGTCTTTGGAATTAGGAAAATAATCTGGGCCCTACTTTTTATATATGAGAAAGTTGAGACTTTTAAGTGCTAACACAGATTTTGGCTAAGGTGACCAGGACCTGGGGATAGAATGGTGGTGAAAATAATCACTTTTTTTTTTTTTTTTAATGCAGCCACAGCTTAGAAATCATTCCCCCCTTTTTGATATCGAAACATAACAGGCATCTTGCAAGGCACAATGGCACCTGCCCGCAGGCCCAGCTCCTGGGGGAGGCTGAGGCTCGAGCCCAGGGGGCTATGACCAGGCCACTGCACTCCAGCCTGGGGGTCAAAGCGAGACCCCCATCTATAAATAATAAATAAAAGCTATAAATGAATTCCTTATTAGCAGATTAAAGAAGTTAACAAGTATAAAAAGTTTTTCCTTGCCTCTTCCCCCCAATTGCTTCTAATCTCATAGAAATGCTTGTATATTTGGGAAAATATCATTTTTTTCTTTGTGATACAATTTGGACAAACCTATGTCTAAAGCCAAACACAAAAAAGTAGGCCAGTTGAGCAAGAAAAGCCATGCCTTACATTTTTTGCCCTTATGCTTGCTTTTTTGCTGAATCGAGGGCTTGTCGATTGCATGAGACTTGTCAGTTACCAAGTGTTAGTCAAACCTTGTGTGTTGGGTGTTAATAGAATCGGGAGTAGGTAGAAAAAGCATTGCTTTTTGAATGAGCCACATAGGGGTTTGAATCCTGGCTGTGTTTATATTAGGCTGGGTTACCTCAGAAAAGTTACTTAACCTCTCTGGGTCTCAGTTTTCTCATATAAAAGAACCGGAGACGTGTCTGGCAAGATTGTCGGGAGTAGTTACTGAAGGTACGTAGTAGGCAGACACCCAGTACAGGATCTGCCTCACTCCCACTCCTCCTTTCAGTTGACAGTGTGTTCTTCACCAGGATCCATTCTCCCCCAAACCAGGAATTGCAGCAGGGCAGGCGTTGTACATTTTCCAGAGAATAGCAGAAGTTTGATTTGTGAATTTAATAAGTTCTTTATGTGCAAAGATATTTTGATCTGCCCGAGGAGACGAAACCAAAGAGTATCATTTCATCCTCATCCATTATTTCACACTAAAAATTGTCACAGTCTAATTTTTTTATCTTATTTAGAGATCTGCTAACAGTTTAGTCGATATTCTTACAGTTGTGTTTAAGGAGCTAGTTCTAGAGAGGCAGGCTAATTGATCTGTATCTTAAGATAATTGACTTTTTATTTGCTTAGAGATTTCTAAGCCTAAATCTTGTTTACCTGCAAATGATGTATAGCAGTCCTTCGTTCTAGACCTAAATGGGGGACTGAAAGCAAAATGCCATTTAAATATTTGGAGAGTTGTGCAAATTGTCATAAAAATGCAAATGTCAACTTGGTTACATTCCACTACAATAAACTACACTCCACCTACAAACAATTTTGTTGTAGAATTCAGTCCTAGTGAACAGTGAAGAGGGCTTTCCCTTCCCCATCATAATACCACGTGTGTACCACACTCCCCAAGAACCCTCTACGTGCCTGCATCTTCTTAAATCTAGCAATATAGTGTTTTACCTGAAATGCGTGACTGAGGCCTAAAATTTTGAACTGAAGGGTTCAGTTTTGGATGCCTCAGCTCTTTCCTTCTCTTGCAAGGTGAAATTTCAAAAGCAACAATGGCTACCACCTACAACAAAGAGAAGGTTGGGGGTCTACTCTACTCCACTCCATTCATACATCATTATCCAAAGCTACCTTTTAATGGCAATGCTTTCTTTCCATTAAAGCCGTATTTCCTGTGAGGAAATTATATAGCACTTTAGAAAATCTATTTTTTAGCAACATCTGTTGAACAAGTGAGCCACTTTTATTTATTTATCTTATTTTTAATTTTTTTCAGAGACGTCTTTTTTTTAATGTTTTATAATAGTATTTGTTTTATATTTTATAATATAATTTCATACAAATTATTTAATATTTTACCATGGAGTTGGTTATTTTTCTAATACTTTGCTAAAGAAAATCTGTAGAGACTCACGTAATTGCTGAACCAATGATGATAAAGCACAGTTTGCCCTGTCTTCAAGTTTCCCCTCTTGTCCTTTCTCCACAGAGCAGTTGACAGTTATCTTCTGATAGATCCTGGCCTGGGTAACACATCACACTGGAGGAATTAGGATTTGGGAAGTAGCTCAACAGGGCACCTAGTTTGAGTAGCCTTTCTGAACAGCTGGGTGCGTGTTCCTCCTGTGTGTGGGTAGCAGCAAGTGTGAGCCCCCTGAGGAGAACCCGGAACTCAGGTATTCTCTGCTCCACATTCAGGAAGATACCTGTGCTTTCCTGGTAGAACTGGTAGAATTAGCTTTCTATTATGAATGTTGAGAAGTTTGACCATTTTTGTCAGAGTTTTGGGTTGATATTTGCATATCTACAACTTAATGTCACTTATCTACTTAACACCCACCAGTTGCTTCTCATTAGATTTAGAATAAAATCCAAGATCTTCACCTTGAATGACATGGTCATTTTGAGCTGGCCTCTGCCTATCTCTCTGACCTTGTCTCCAGCTACATTGGCCTTCTTTCTCTTCTTTAAATAGGCTGAGCTCTTTCTCACTTCAGGTTTTTCGTTGAACCCGCTGGTCCCTCTCTCTCAGAGACGAGGTCTTGCTGTGGCACCCAGGCTGGAGTGCAGTGGTGTGGTCACAGCTAACTGTAACCTTGAACTCCCGGGCTTAAGCGATAGATCCTCCTGCCTCGGCCTAATAG